AATACATTAATATTTTTTAACTATCATTGTATTAAATAAATAAAATTAAAAGTTACATATACTAAAATTTAAAGTGCTTTTTAAAAGGAAAAAAAAGGCCTATGAATCCTAGTGAAAAGAATAATAGGTAAAGCTACTATGGAGTGTACAAAAAATGATGTCATACAAATTCTTACAATTTTTAAAAGAAACTATCCTTGGACATTAGGTTAAGAATCACATTTAACTGGTATACCTGCACGAAATCAAATTCTACATTATTTAATAATGATTTCTTTTTTGAAATGAAGGTATCTGTAATTTTCCTGTATCATGTAAATATACTCATTAGGAGACCTACCTGTGATGGTTCTGTGCTTACCAGTGGTATGAGAATTTATATAGATGACATTTTATTTTCACACAGTGACTGTTGGGATTTCAATATGAAAAGATTCTGCCTTCACTCCTCTGTGTTTTTCATCAATGTTTAATTATATTCCTGGTTGTGAATCACCCTCTGAGAATATGGTAACAAGTTTAGTAAAGGTTGTTATTTTATTAATTTACTTTTGTTAACTAACTTAATTAGCATACCTATTCCAGGTTTTAAAAAAAAAGGAGAGATGGATACTATAATCTCTTGGTACAAACGAAAACCAGCATATTTTCCAACTTTCTTAATTACTCAATGGGTCCTCCAGGCAGTAAATTATAATTCAGAGAGACAGAATCAATACATACATAATTAATGTGTATTTTACCTTGTTTCATATAAAAGAAATTTGAAGCAGACTTTTATTTTGTGTGACCAAACAGGCCATTTAATTTTATTCTTTATTTATTCCAGAATCAAAGATGAAGGAAGATTTAAAATACAGAAAGACAGTTCCATCATTAGCTGTTCCTACATAATCTCTGGTAGTATTTTGTTAGGATAATACTCATAGCTAATCACTGGTAGATATGGAAGAAAAAAACACTTGAGGAGAGGAGAGAAGTGCATGAAAGTATCTTAAGAACACATGAACTTTGATGTATGTACAAGTTTATTTCTTTAGCTTGTATTTAAGTGATAAAATAGTTCCACAAAATATAATTTCAAAGGCTTGAATCCAGAAATATGGATAAAACATGATCAGTTTATGGAATTTGGGGTTGATAATTTTTGTAGCTTATTTATTTCACAGCAATTTCACTTAAAAATACAGGTCACCCTAAGCTCAAGTTAGTATTTAAATGCTGCAATAGAAAGACATTGCATAGAAATTTGCAAGTGTTAAGTGTACATTTAAATATATTTCAAATAATGCCTTCTGCTATGTTGTTGATTTAACATTTAGAATTGTGCATACAAAGTAAGAAATACTAGTTAACTTATATTGAAAAATAAAATAGTTCTCACTGTCAAAAAGTAGATGTCTGCAGTTCAGCAGACAGAAACTCTTAGGAAGTAGTCATACCAGGCTCCTGTCAGCAAGCACTTCTTGGCATCAACAATAGTGTAGGTGTTTAGTGAATGCAGATGGGATAGATTCTTAGGTGGGTGATCTCTGTATGGCTTTTCCTTCAGTCTGTGCTACACTTTTTTTTGTCCTGTCTTTCCTTTGGACAGGAACATTTTCAGTTCGACATTATGAGATGGGTAGGTGGTCCCATCCATCAACTGGAGACTGTTCCTATCTACTAGAAGTGGTCTTTACAGGTTCTATCTCTGCTTTGTTGAATATTTCGGCTAAAAGTTATCCTCACTGTGTCCTGGGAGCCTCTCACTTTCCTGGCATCTGGGACTTTCTAGTGGCTTCCCCCAGTTCCCCATTCCCCATTGTTATATATTTCTATTCTATTTTCTGACCTTCTCTACTTCTCTTCTGTCCCTTCCAATACCTGATCTTGCCCCCCTCTTCCCTCCCCTCCTCTCTCCCTCCCAGATTCTCTCCCTCTCTTTACCTCTTGAGATTATTTTGTTCCCCCTTCTATGTAGGATTGAAGCAATCACCTTTTGGCCTTTCTTTTTCTTAATCTCCATATGGTTTGTGGATTGTATTGTGCCTATTCTGAGCTTTTGGGGTGATATCCATGTATCAATGAGTATATATCATGTATTTTTTTTTCTTTTGTGTTTGGGTTACCTCACTCAGGAGGATATTTTGTAGAAATAGAAGAGGATGTCAGAAAATGGAGAGATCTCCCATGTTCATGGACCTGCCAGATTAACATAGTAAAAATGGCCATTTTACCAAAAGCAATCTACAGATTCAATGCAATCCTCATCAAAACTCCAACTTAATTCTTCACAGAGATAGAAAGAGCAATTCTCAAATTCATCTGCAATAACAAAAATAAAAAATCCAGGATAGAAAAACTATTCTCAAAAATAAAAGAACTTCTGGTGGAATCATCATTTCTGACCTCAAGTTGTACTAAAGATCAATCGTGATTTAAAAAAAACCACACACACAAAAGACAAAATCACATGGTATTGGTACAGAGAACAGAGACAGGCAGGTAGAACAATGAAATAGAATTGAAGATCCAGAAATAAACCCATATACCTATGGTCACTTGATCTTTGACAAAGGAGCCAAAACCATCCAGTGGCAAAAAAGAAAAAAAAAAAAAAAAGACAGCAGTTTCAACAAATGATCCTGATCTAACTTACGGTCAGTATGTAGAAGAACGCAAATTGATCTATTCTTATCCCCTATACAAAGCTCAAGTCCAAGTGGATCAAGGATTTGCACATAAAACCAGATATGCTGAATCTAATAGAAGAGAAAGTGGGGCAGAACCTAGAACACAATGGCACTGGGGTTTCACCCTTCAAACAGTAGAAAGGCCAGGAACAGATACAATTAGGTTTTATGACAGAAAGCCTCATTTTCCAAGGACTCTACACTAATGAGTTAATCATGTCACAGGGATTTCAGTTCCTAATCCCATCATTTTATGCGTTAGAATTTCAAGATAGAAAGAAGCAAGCCACCGTCATAGCTGTATATTTTACACCTGCTCTTAGTCAAAGGCCAAGAAGTGATACAGCTGTATATTCTATGGATAGTTGCTAAAACATCACAGAGGAACACATTTTACAGCTTTTTATCTAAAGAAAGAATCTTTCTTAGTTATTTTTCTTTCTGGTGTCTTGTTATCACATGCAATGTTCTACACTGAAAATAAGAAGCACTACTCAGATTTTATTTTTAATTAATTAATTAATTAGTTAATTAACATTCCAAATGCAAGGGTTGGGGGAGGTTTTATTTTTATAGTAAAATGTTAGAATGTTTGAAACTGTCATATAGAAAGCCTGAAACAGTCCATGGCATTTACCTTATCCAATCAGTGTGAAATTAACAATGTTTTGTGACTTTGACTTTTCCGATACAATGTGTTTTTTCCCAAGAAAGTATTCAAACTATCAGAAAAATTTAACAAATTAGGAAGAAAAGTAATATACAAGCAAATTCTATTTTCTTAAAGCCAAATTAATACATTTTAAGTGTATATTCAACACCTTAGTATCAACTAATTTCAAATATTTTCCTAAGAAATTCATCTATTTTTGTCTATATGCAAGTTTCATAATATGTTCTCAAATAATTTTTACCAACATCCAATATATACTAAATATATTATCTAATATCTAATTTTATTACTTTTTTCACATTCATTGTCCAAAATATAATGTTAGAGTTTGAAGTTCAGGATTAAAATGCTTAGACATATATTTAATATGGCATTTTGGTGACATTTATCTAATAAGAGAATAACATTACTTAAGACCTTAATGGACAAAGTAAACAAAGACGAATCTGTAACCAGTGATACTTGTACAGAGAAAGGAAAGGGAAACTTTCCTCAAAGAACTTATACATAGTTAATGAGGGTAAGTTCAATCACACACAAAGAAGGGATTCACAGTTGGTGAAGGGAAGTTCAATCTTGCAAAGTTAATAATAGAAGCTCCAAGTACAGTTATACAGAACTACTTCATAAGCACTCAAGAGCTTTTATATAAGGAATGTCAATCTTTTTTTTACATGTTAATAGTGATTAGATAATTAGTTGTATCTATTTATATATAAAAATTTTCTGATTCCAAAAATTATGTCATGCACAGGTTATATAAAATACAATGACTTTTCACTGAGTGTCATTGATGGTAAAGCAGTTTTTCCATTACATAGGTAAAGCTTGTTTGGTTTCCAAATGCCATAGACCTGTTTCCCTCAATCACTACCAAGTTATCAAGATTTCATGTGTTCAGATCTCCAACATTCATAATTTTACTTCTCCAATAAATAAAACCTTTCTCATATATAGTGAATTTAAGTACCTTCATTTGGATCAGTGGTTTTCAATCAGGTCAGAACCCCTTTGATAAACATCTGTCTCCAAAAATATTTAGATTATAGTTCATAATAGTGGAAAAATTACAGTTAAGAAATAGCAACAAAAATAACTTTGTGGTTGTGGTTAACAAAAATTAGAACTTTTGTTAAAGTGTCCAAGCATTAGGAGTTTGAGAACTGCTGCACTAGATGATGGCCTATAACTTAATTATATCAGAATTATTTTGAACTAATACTATAAAATTTTCAAATTCAATTGAACTCTGCTCCATCCACAACAAGATAAATCTATTATGAAAAGCATTTGAAAATATCTTGAAACATGAGTCTAATAATAGGCAAATTGAAATTAGTAAATATTCATTGAATAGCATAATCAAAACTACTAAAGCAAATAGATAATACATTATAATACAAATAAAATAATAAATTATAGTAATGAATAAATTTTTAGAATCATGTCTGCTAGGAATTAGTAATATATATATATATAACATAAACATGAAATATTATGAGTCCTACTGCAAATATTGTACTTAAGTGCTAGAAGAAACACACATTTTTACTGTTTTAAAATACAAATCATAGCTTTCATCTACATCATCATTATGATTTTCTAGAAAAAAGAAATAAGTGGACATGTACAAGATATATAATTCTTTAGAACTACATTTTCATTTTCAGTTTTTGCAGGGCCTCTTTCACTTCCTTGTTTCTCAAGCTGTAAATGAGAGGGTTCAGCATTGGGATCACAAGAGTGTAGAACAATGAAGTCACTTTATCTTGATCCAGAGAATAAGAAGTACTTGGCCGAAAATACATGAAAAGCATAGTTCCCTGGAAAATGGCAACTGTGGCGAGATGGGAAGTACAGGTGGAGAAAGCTTTGAACCTTCCCTCAACAGAATGTATCTTCAGGACTGATAAAATAATGTAGCAATAAGAGATCAGAACTCCAGATATGGTACTCAGTTCAATGAAACCAAAAACAGTAAATAAGGCCAGTTCATTGACTTGTATGTCAGAGCAGGAGAGCATGTAAAGTGGAGGTAAATCACAAAAGAAGTGGTTGATCTCATTAGAACCACAGAAACATAAACGGAATGCCAAGGTTGTATGTATCAAAGCATCTGTTGTTGCTACCAGGTAAACCCCAACCATGAGCATGGAACACACCATGCTAGACATGTTCACTGTGTAGAGTAACGGGTTGCTGATGGCCTGGTATCTATCAAAGGCCATTACTGCTAGCAGTAAACACTCAGAATCTGCAAAGACACAGAATATCAAAAACTGCAGAGCACAACCAACAAAAGGAATTGATTTCTCTGCAGCTAAGAGATCCACCAGCATCTTGGGTCCAATTGCTGTACAATAGCAGAGGTCACAGAAGGAGAGATGGGTGAGAAAAAAGTACATGGGTGTGTGGAGCTGTGAGTCCATTCTAATTAAGATGATCATTCCAAGATTGGCAAGCAGAGTAATGAAATAAACAAGTAGAAATGTGGTGAACAGGGCGACTTTTGTAACAGGATTATTGGTAATTCCTGAAAAAATGAATTCATCAACAGAAGAGCAATTTCCCCTATTCATTCTTCTTTTTATGTAAAATTTAAAAGATAATGTCAAGGTGGGCTAGATGCATAGCTAGTTAGCTCTAAAAAAAACATGAAAAGCGAAAAAGAAATCAATGACAATTCATTTTCTGTGTTGTTTTTCCCTCAGAAATCAATCCAGTCACATTACTCTGTAAGTAGACTGTTATGATTTTTATCATAATGAACAATATCTGATAGTCTGAGAGTACATTTGTCATCTTTGAAAGCCACATACCGTTGTAAAAAGTGTAACTTGTTAAATTTTTAACATTTTAGACCTGTCTTCTGATTTAACAGAATCTTCTTAATCTTCAATGTTTATAGACAAATATCAATCATAGGCTATACAATAAAAGGGTAGACAATTCTTAATGTTTAAAACAAAGCATTCACCTGAACTAAATATTAAACATAAGTATTCTGATTCATGAAATTCATAACTGGATTAAAGAATATTTGTCATTTCAAATGCAATGGAAGTCTCTGGCATTGATTAGCAAAAATCAAAACCATTTTATTCTGATGCTATTTAGCCTGCATCATTCAGTATATAAATCAGATTTTAACTAATAATATGTTTTATTTTCACTTGTTTATGTCTGGTCCAAAGAGTGTTCACTAGATAAAATATTAGAATATGATCACTTAGGAGACATATTAAAATAAAATTTGATAATGAATAAATCCTCTGCCTTTTATAAAGTTTAAAGAGTCTAACATATCCTTTAAATTTGAAAAGAGAATAAAGAAACATAAATCTTTCAGAGATATTTATGCTGTTTGTCTGTTATATGTGGTGGATTTGCATCCTTCAATTTGGATACATAAGTGAAATATGGGGAGTGGGAAATAAGGATACATATACACTGATCATTATTTTTATTATTTTACCTTAATAAGTATTATTTGTAGCTTGCATATTATTCAAGTAAAGCTGTGTCTCATATATTGTTATTTATAAGATGATACCATTTTTAAAAAATCAACAGAAAACAGTAACAACAACTTCAGTTAATGTGCATATGTCTTGGCAGTCAAACAAGGAAAGAGTTATTTTGAACCTAGATTAAGAGAAATTTAGTAAATAGTTATTTGGATAATTCTAAAAGTTTCATTCGAAGTCTTCTTTGGAGAACAAACTTTCATCTATTCATTACACTTCAGATTTTACTAATATAAATAACGAGAAATTGTTTCAACTTTATGGCTTTTATCTACCACCCCTCAAATCAATATTTTTAACCTGTGCTTTTAAGTGCTGAAACTCAGTAGCCTACCTTAGCTGAACAGTTCAATGGTGAGTGAATGCTAACTGGTACTTTTTCATGTCAGTGAAAATTTGGTGTCTATATCACCGAAGCTCTTCCCCTAAGGCTTTTGTGTAATGAAAACATTTAATTTATTATTTTCTGTATTTTCCCCAGTGAATACATGAACATATTAGGCAAAGCTTGAACTTAAATTTTGATGACAATCAACTGATCTGTATCAGGATGAAAACAAAATTAATTTTACATTCTAAAACATAATTGATTAAAAAACATGTACTAAAATATCTGTATTCCAGATTGACATTTATTAAAGCAAAATGTTTGCAAACTTAAACATTTTAAATGTCCTTCTAGTATTTATTTCATTTTGAACCATTATCATAAATTCCATATTCAATTATTACTAAATTTCCATGATCAAGTTTTGAGATATAATTCATATAAGATGAAATGCAGAGTTTGGACAGTAATCACTAGTTTGATTTTTCAATCCTTAAATTATGTCTTTACTTCTCTGTTCTTCCATACATTCATTACTTCAATATGAAACATAAGTCTTTAGTGTACACTTCACTTTATTACTTCCCTCCATCTTTAAGAAGTTATAAATATTTCTGATTCTTTGGAATTTACTTGTTTATATTACAAGTATATATAGTATATATTAGTGTAGCCATATATATATGTGTGTGTGTGTGTGTATCCATATATATATATATTTGTAAATAATACATATTTGTATATAATATATATGATATATGTTACTATAGTTAAATATATTTACTTGTATATAATATGACATACTACTTGTCTATGACATCTGATAAGAAGAGTTTTATACAATGCTTTTGTAATTAATCTTTTATATACCCTGGACTAAACAACTACTGGGTTCTTGGACCTTTATGTTGGTAGACTATCATTGTTAGAGTATCTGGACAATAGACTGTAAGCCATTCTTATAAATCCCCATTTTTATGAATGCATATATACAGTTTAAATATGCTCTTTCTCTATAGAACCCTGACTCATTCAAGAAGCATAGTCAGTACAGAAGAAACAGTATGGATGAGGAATAAGAACACTACAGAGGTCTAAAAACTGATAAGAAAGCTTATTGTATATTTACCAATAGTTACATATTATACATAATATATATTATATATGTATATTATATATACTAGACATGAGAAAACTCTGTTTGAGTAGTTGGTCAGGAGAGACTAGGAGGCTCCCAAGGTCATAAGCTATGGATGTTACTCTTGTTTCCCTTAAGAGGTTGAGATAATTCAGTCACAGAGTCAGCAGCTTCTTTCCAGTGATTGGGTGCAAATATCTGTTACTGACACTTTCAGCTGCTTGTTGTGTCTTCTGGAGTACAGGCATGATAGGTCCCTTTTTGTGAGGGCTCCATAGCCTCAGTGACAGTCTCAGGCCTTGGGACCTGCCCTTGAGGTGGATCCTACTTTGGGCCTATTGCTGATTCTTCTTTTCCTCAGGCTCTTCTTCATTTCCATCTCTGCAGTTCATTCAGACAGTAACAATTATGGCTCAGAGTTTTGACTCACTTGATACCCTGCCTTTCTAATGGAGGTGAGCTCTACATGTTCCCTCTCCCCACTGTAGGACATTTCATCTAAGGTCCTTCCCTTTGAGTACTGAGAGTCTCTCACCTCCTAGGTCCATGGTCTATTCCAGAGGGTCTCCCCTCAACCTCCTACCTCCCCACATTGCCCATTTGCATTCTTTCTGCTGGCCCTCAGGGCTTCAGTTCTTTTCCATCACCCAATACCAGATCAGGTTCCCCTTTCTCCCCCATCACTCCTTTGTCCACTTTCTCTCCAAAGTCCCTCTCTCCCTCCCCACTTGTGGTTGCTTTCTTCTCCCTCTCAAGTGGGACTGAGGATCCTCACTTGGGCCCTTCAGCTTGTAGAATATTTTTAGTTCTGTGGACTGTATCTTGGGTATTCTGTACTTTTCTTTTATTCCCACTTATTAGTGAGTCTATATGATGCATGTGCTTTGGGGGATGAATTACCTCATTCAGGATATTATTTTCTAGTTCCATCCATTTGCCTGCAAAAATCAGGATATCCTTGTGCTTAATAGCTGAGTAGTATTCCATTGTGTAAATAAATCACATTTTCTATATCCATTCTTCTGTTGTAGAAAAGGCTGGAAAAACCTGAGGATAAAGGCAACCCTGTAGGAGGACCAGCAGACTCAATTAACCTGGACCCCCAAGATCTCTGAAAAACTGGACTACCAATGAGGCAGCATATACCAGGTGATATGAGGACCTCAACACATATACAGCAGAGGATTGCTGGTTCTGTGTTCAGTCAAAGAAGATCTACCTAACTTTCAAGAGACTGGAGTCCCAGGGAGTTTAGAGGTCTGGTTGGATGGGAGTTGGGGGGTAAGGTTACCCTCTTGGAGACAGGTGTGGGAAGGAGGTATGGAATGTGGAACAGTCTGAGGATGCACTGTGAGGGGGTAATAAAATCTGGAGTGTAAAAATAATAAATAAATAAGTAAATAAATAAATAACAAAAAAAAAAACCTACAAGCTTGCCTACTACCTGATCTTATGGATGTATTTCCGTAGTTGAGGTTGTTCCTCTCAGATGACTCTAGCTTAATTGAAGTTGACATAAAACCAGCCTACAAAGAGGCCAATATGGGCTACATGAGACTCTATCTCAAAAAAAAATTAAAATAATTACAATAGATTGTTTTAAGCCACTAAGTTTTGGGGTGATTTGTTAGACAGCAAGAGATGCCTCCTATAAACCATTACTTAGATCACTTGGCTTACATGCAGGATACATTCACTGGTCCTCAGTTCACATCTGAAATCAAAGTCATTTTAGGTGTAAGATCCTACAGCATTTGCATACTCCACTTCCTGTTGCCGTTACTCTCAACACATTTCCTCTACCCTGTCTTAGTTCACCCCATCCCAGGCACATTTCCTTGATTCCCACCTTCCCTAGAGTCTCAACATCTCCTGTTCTCCCTTCTCAGATTTCTATTTCCCAGTACCACATGGTTCTGTCCTTTACTTGCTTCTGGTCAGTACTGAAGCATTCATCATAGTGAGGGTCCTATATCCACTGTCCCCTTGAACCCTCATCTTATGTCTTTTGCTCTTCTGTTATCGACACAGAATGCATCCTCCTCTGACATATATTTATTTCACTTCATGTAGATTGTGTGCTATTTTGTTTAATACAATCTCCCAGTGGTTAGAATGGTTTATGACACACAGGACATACTGGGATGTACTTGATGGTGACAGGGTTCCTTGCTGCTCCTCCTTGCTAAGATGTGGCCTCAGATCTACTGAGATCTCAGACACATCATAAAATGCATTCCCTCAAATAGGGAAGCCCAGCTTTGGTTGAAAGTAGAACTTGAACCCTATGCTTCTTACCTGTCAGACTGTGAGAATAGAGTGGAGCTGGATGCTTGCGCCCAGTGGGCTTCCTGTCTGTATGCATAGACATTCTTCCTTTCAAGGTCCTTGATCCTCACATCAAAGGACAGACTCTAGGGATCTGGAGAGATGACTCAGCATTTAAGAACATCAGCTGTGCTTTCAAATGACCCAAGTTTGGTTCTCCAACTCAACATTGAATAGCTCCCAAATACCTGTAACTGCAGCTTCAGGGAAATTGACACCCTCTTCTAACCATCTCAGACACCTAAATACATGCAGCATATACTC